ATGTATATATAGAAAAGTGCAGAAATCACTGGTGCATATATGAGTTTTCACAGAGTGAACACGTCCTGTTGTTAGTCCTACCCCCAGAAATTTGATGCCAGAAAACATTCCCCTAAACAAAACGGCTACTCACCTAGTGTTCTAGTGAAAGAGCTAAGTGTTTGGTGGAGGAATAATTAGGTAAATGTTGGCACATAAATTCGGGGGAACAGTATGAAGACATTAAAAATGACAGTTTTGAACTGTAGAACAAAATTCACAAAACTCAAATGCCCGTGAGCCAGCAGGCGGAGGAAATAGGAGACGCAGCCTGGTGTAAACTGGTACGGAGGGAGCGGGGAGCGAAAGACAGTGAAAAAACGGAGAGCACAGAGCGCAGGCCCTGCCTCCCGTCACAACGGTGAAGAATAATCATAAACCAGAGGAAAATAAAACACGGTGCCGATCAAACGAAACGTGTCATGGGCCTCGTTTTGCCCGCAGGCCTTTAGTTTGTGACCCTAAGATAGGGGCAACATAAACATCCAGGCGTGGCAATATGATGATAACACTGCACAGATGTGAGGACCGAGGGGAAGTACAGAAAAATGAACGCTGGCCTTGCTGGGAACTTGGCCAAACTACCTGACCCTTTAAGCCTCAGTTTCTTCATCTGTAAAACAGGGATTTTAAAAAACGCCTCCCTCATAAAGCTGTTATAAAGGTTAAGTACATACAAAAGCACCTAGCATGTGGTTAATAAAACTATTCTTCTCCCCCTTCTTTTCCTCATTATTATTTTACTGCTCTCATTATTACTATTTCTCTGGTTTCATACTCCACCGTCCTCTTCCCCCTTGTTCTCCTGACTCCAGCCACACCAGCCTTCTCGATATTTCTGCAAGTGTTTTAGCCTCAGGGCCCCAGTTCTCTTTCCAGCCAGTATTGGCCTCCCTTCATGTCTGTCTCTGTCCAAACCAAGCTCCTCGGAGAGGGCTGCCCTGCCCCCACCTTCCTCCATCTCTCACCTGATTTCATTGGTCCTCGTTGCGCTTAGCACCACCTGACATTTTATTATGTATGTATTTTTTAGTTTATCTGTTTATTCTCTACCCTAGAGGGCCAGCTCCCTGAAGGCAGGATTTTGCTTAACTTTTCAATGCTGTATTCACAGTTCTAGAAGGGTACCAGGCACGTAATAAACCTTCAAGAGTTATTTGTTGAATGTTGTTGAACTGAAAAGGTAGAGATATTGAGCCTCGTGTTTTCCCTGAATCCTAGGGTCACCATGTTATCTGTGTAATCGATGATTTAAAAATACGTTTTCTCGCGGGTGATCTCAGTGTGTGACTCTCCTGTATCTTTCCTGACTTGTTTGGCAGATCAGCGGTGCAGAAGCTGGGCGCAGAGGTATTTGAAGAAGTCTACGATTACCTCAAGGGGGCCAGGCAGCAGAATGCCAGTGAAGCCGAGATCCACACGGCCCTAGAGAAAGTTGTGCCTCGGGCCAGCGACTGTTTTGAAGTTGACCAGCTCCTCTACTTTGAGGAGCAGTTGCTGATCACAATGGGAGAAGGGCCCACACGCCAGAACCGTCACAAACAATTGTCAAAAGCAAGCGAGTTCAAGGGGACAAATTTCTGTGAAAATCCATTCAACACATAAACCGGACTCTGTTACGGGAAATGCATACATAGCTGGAGCTACCATCTTTGCTTTCAACTTCTTATCAAAAGGAAGGACCCCTTTAGAGAGTAGTAAACATGTCTGCCTGTACTCAGAGTCCTGGGCCAGTCAGAGTTGTTTGGTTTATACTCTGGGATAAGCCTAGGGATCAAGTTTGGCCTCCTGAAAAGCATTCCCACATCCGAGTCCTCAGGGCTTCTGGGGGTTGGACCACCATGACGATGGCCTGGGAGAAGCCATCTGCTCTTTCCCATTTCCACTGGGAGGACAGGCTCACTGCCTGACTGCCTGGGGTCACCGTGCTCTGTGACCAGCCTGCTCCTGAAGGTCGTTGGCACTGGCCTCTGACACGGGTGACCTGTTTTGGCTAACAAGCAAGAAGAGCATATATACAAGGACCTGAACTGAAAATCCAAAAAGTGATTCCCTTCTGTGATTTATTCTCCAAACTCATCCACGGAGTATTGACGACTTTATTCTGAATAAATATATTTTTCATGGTTACAAAATTAATCACCTATTTTATCTTTTCCTCATCCAAAAGTATGTTGGTGAACGTAACAACACATCCATGTAACGATAATTATTACTTAGAGCAGGTGACATTTGGTTTATTTGGCGCCTATTATGCACCAGCACTATGCTCTGTGCTTAAGACTTCAAGGGCCTTACTTCATTGGATCTTCTCACCAATGAGAAAGAGATTATGCCCATCTTTCAGGTAAGCTGCTTAGTCACTCAGCTACCAGAAGCTGAGCTGGGATTTCCCCCCAGGTCTGTCTGATTCCAGCACCACACTCTTGACCACTGCGCATGTGGGTTTTTGACCGAGCAGCTACATCAGAGTTGCTTGAGGATCTTCTTAAACATACACATTTAAACATACTGTTAAAGAAAAAATTATTCTGACCCTTGTTAAAAGAAGACTTTATTCAGGACTGTTGCAGTAGGGCAGAGAAATGGGGCTCAATTGCAAATATGGCAAAGAAAGCCGGAGATTTATAGCCAAGGGTAGGGTGCACGGCAGGGGTCAGTGGATATAAAGTTACTAAGAGAAGACACCCAGGGTAGGAGAGATTGCTGCTAAACTGACTTAACAGGACTCTTGCTGAAGGCTGGCCAGGGTGATCAGATATCAAGGGTGGGGGATTCTCCTTAAACTGATAGAGCAGGATTCTTGCTAAAATTGGACTCAGCAGGCTGAAGACAGGGCCCAAGGTCAAAGCCTGGTCAAAAGTGGGCTCAGAGGAGCCTGTCTAAAGTTTGGTAGGGGAGAGAATCTTTGTCAATACCCAGCCCCACCCCCTTCCTTTCTCTGGGAAGATAAGAGCCCAATCCTATCTTATGTTACGGAACCACCTGGTGAATCTGGCTCATGGGAGCACCATTCTGCCTCCTGCTAATGATTGACGTACTGAGAGACAGAGAGGCTGGTTGCCTTATTGACCCATTATGGATGGCGCTTTGCCCCCAGCACGATGCACTATCTTTTAGACTAGTGTTTCTCAAATTTGAGCATCAGAATCGACTGGGGGCTTGTTAAAACACAGATTACAGCATCCATCGCCAGCATTTCTGATTCAATACATCTGGGTGGAGCCTGAGAATGTGTATTTCTAACAAGTTCCCAGGTGATGCTGATGCTCCTGGTATGAGCACTACACTCAGAACCTTTGTTCAAGACCCTTCTTTCTGTTGCCTCTCTTCTCTTGCCTTTGTTTGGAGCAGTAGCTTATCTGCTCTTAGTTGGGGCATAATTCATCTCACAACTCTGAAAGTGGTTTGAGGACTGGGAAGAAGGGCCAAAGACTTCAGATGCTTCACCATGAATACTCTAAAAAGGTGAGGATTGGGAGGAAAAAGTCAAAGTGTGACTAACTTGACCTGAGGGAACCTGATGGGGTCAGTTTAAGGACAAGGAGCATGGCCACTGTGTTCTAAGTCCCATTCCCACCTCTGCCCAGCAACCAAAGGAATCACGGGGTACCCAAGTGAACCCACAACTTCTGCCCAGCTCAAGGGCTAGTGAACACCACTGCTCTGTGTTCCTCAACCCTTTACACCATGGAGAAGTGTTGGGGCAGCATAGATCTCCACTTTGCCTCTTCCCAAAGTGAACGATGCCCATTCTCCCCTCGCCCCCACACAATGGGGACTTGTTCCTAGCTGGGAGACAAGAGTCACATTCGTGTTCTCGCAGCCATTGTGTCTGGGGCAGGAAAAACAGCCCTCAGATATTGGCTTCTGGAGGTGGGATCTGAGACTTTGCAGAGTTCTGAACGTTAGCATGTTTCTCAAGTCAAAATCCAAAACCTGCGACTGTTGCCAAGGTAGAACATTGAAAATCAGGTTGCCCAGGGAAACCCAGGATGGATGAAGCATGTGACCACTTTGCTGCTGGGAACAGGCGTGGACATTTCCAGCATGTTAACAGGGAAGAGACCTCACTCCCAGGAGGAGCTCCCCATAGCTCCCATCTTCTTTTATAACCAACCAGATTTCGAACGGACCTGGAAGAGGGAACAATAGTAGCACCAAAGTTAAAAGTTTCTGAATCTCCTTGCTGATGGTTTTCATATTAGAACAGAATTCTTGTGTAAGTTGCTGGGTCTGAAGAGGAAGTAGCTAGATTTTCAAATAGTCTCTACCATCTTTCATAAACAGATAAACATGTCCAGGGAACAACACCCTGGATTTAAGAACGTATTGTAGGGGAGGAAAGACTTCCCCAACCGTCTTAGTTTCTCTGGCTAGGGCCTACAAATTAAACTGACAAAAGACAGATTTACAGGAGAAAAAGCATACAAATTTTATTTGATATTAATATTTTTACATGACATGGGGGGCTTTCTATAAAGAAGCGAAAACCCCAAAGAAGGAGTTAGGCCTGAGAGCTTATATACCATTTTGACAAAAGAGTGATAAATTGGTGGAGAAGTGACAAGACAAAGGAAAAGGGATTTGAGCTCCTAAGGGGGGTAAATTGTAGGAAAGTGACTAGGAAATATGTGGGGGTGTTAAAAAACAAAATTCAACTGAGTAAATTTAAAGATCTAATTAGCTTTATTCAACAATTCATGAATCAGGCAGCATCCCATCTAGCAAATAGAAAGGAGCTCAGAGGAGATGTACAAGATAGAAGATTTTTATAGGCAAAAGGAGGCAGGACAAGGAAGTTATTAGTGTTACCAATTTCACCCCACTCTGTTGGGACTCCAACCCACACTCGGAGCTCAGAGAAGGGGTCCACGGGTGGGCCTCATACCCACAATCCATCCCTTCCCCAAGAGGGTTCTTTCCTGTTCCGTGTCATGGATTTGAAACAAAACCAAAGCTGAGCGTTCAACAGCACAAGCTTTATTCAATGGCCAAAGAATGGAGAAGCAGAAGCTAAGTTCACAAATCAATTTCTCAGCTCTTGGGGCAATTAAGCTATTGTTATAAGGGGTCAAGGCAGTGAAGGGGAGGAATATTCATAGTTATTCAGAGAAAGGGGCAGGCCTGTCTGGGAAATAGGGTACCACCTCTTTTCTTTCCTTATTTGGTCTAGTGTTTCCTGTCACGGCCACAGTAGGTGTGTTATTTAGTATGGTAATATATTACGATGAACATATAATGAGCTGCAGGGTCTATGTCAGATTAAGTTGGACCACCATGTTGCCTCCAACCAGTTTAAACTGGTCCTGACCACAGGTCTCAGCCATCTTCTCCTTCTTCCCTTTGTGGTTTCCTGTAAGCCAAAGGTAATATGTTAGGCTTGTTCTGAGCAGGTTGTGGTTAATATCTTATGGGGCCAAAAGCCATGGTAACATTACCAAAGAGTGGTTTATTTCAGGCAGAGTCACCTTACCTTGGGGGACAGTGGAGGTCTATCAGGCAGATTTCCTTATTAGTGTTGACCAGGAAATTCCAGACTGACTGGTTAAAGGTCACATTCCTGGGAGAGGTTGAGACTGCAATTAGGTTAGGTATTCAGTCTTCATTTGCTGATGTGGGGCCTAGCACAAGTGACTCCATTTTGGGCCTGTTGTTTCTTTCTTTTTTTTCCCCAAAGATTGGCACCTGAGCTAACGTCTGTTGCCAATCTTCTTTTTATTCTTCTTCTTCTCCCCAAAGCCCCCCATCACATAGTTGTATATTCTTGTTGTAGGTCCTTCTGGTTGTGCTATGAGGGATGCTGCCTCAACATGGCCTGATGAGCAGTGCCATGTCTGCACCCAGGATCTGAACCAGTGAAACTTAACCATGTGGCCACAGGGCCAGCCCCTGTTGTCTCTTTCCTAACAGGGGAAACTAGTGGAAAATAAGAGTTTATTCAAGTAGGTTTGTTTGTACAGATCAATCTTGGCATTGACACCCCATCTCCAGTGATAATAATGTTCTCCTCTTCCAGTCCAGGGAAGGTACTTTTCTCATGGGAAATTTATGCTTTTAGGTAGAAAGGGGAAAGGCAGAGAGCTCTTCCAGCATCTGCTGTTTCTTAACTTTCAGCTCAGAATAATCCTTATGGTAAAGTGGCATATTTTGGGGTGGCATATTCTGATCTCCTACAATGTCTAGGAAGATGGGTGCAGACTGAAAACATCTTATCCTCCTGCGATTTGTGCTGTACACCATATCAGGCTTAAAAGAAAGGAAGGCTAGGAGGAAACAGCATTTTGGATCACAGCTCCATGCTGTATAAAAGAAACTCACTCATGTTTACCTTTCATTTGGTTTACTGAGAATGGCGGCACAAGATTTAAGATGAGTAGAAGAAAATACCTTTTAATATTACCATTGGGAAAACGCTTTCTCCTTCAGCCATACTCTGTTAATTTTGGGCAACTCCAACCATGGGTATGAATCACTAACCAAATTGCAAGATGCTGAGTGGAAATTGGCTGAGGAATTAGAGAACTAGGAAGTTGCTTGTTATGAAACAGTCACAGGTATGAGGGAACAAAGGGACCCTGCTAGCTTGCTGCGTTGTAAAAAATATATATATTTCACAAATGCCAATTGACCTTTCTGCTTTCTATTTATGTAGAGGAAATGCCACTAGCTATTTTGGGTGATGCGGAGATAAGGCACACAAAGAAGAGTGATGGAAGTTAATTATTTAATGTATTTGGGGCTGAGGCTGGAGCAGAAGCTCTAGGTCTCTTATGAAAGAGTCCAGCCTCACAGCGGGCTTGGGATAAAGGAGGCTGGCACGATTAAACAGCACCTCAAGGGGGAAACCTTTCACTCCTCTTTCTACATGATGAGATTGCTAACCAATATGTCAGAAGGGAATGGGGCCAGGCCGCCACAATGATAAAAGAACAAAAATGAAAAATGAGGCAAAGAGAAGGAGAAGGGGATGTGCGAGAGACAGACAGACAGACAGACAGGGAGCAGGGGACAGGAGAGACGGGCGGGGGGAACCACAGTCAAGAATGTTTTAAAATGATCTGCCACAACCCATATAAGGGAAAAATATTGAACTTCATACCAGCTGACTTGGACTCTAGACCCACTCTTGCCATTTACTGTGTGATCCAGGGCAAGTCATTTTCTCTGCATCTTTGTTTCCTGCCTATGTCTAAAGATTGTTGTAAAGAACAGGTAAGATAATGTAACAGGTTGAATCGCATGAAATTGCCAATGGGGTTCAGCATAATGTGTGGAAGTGCTTTCAATGCTGTAAGGTGCTCTTGACTTTGGAGAAAATCATTAACTTATTGTCAGGCTGCCTGATCTCCCATCATTGGAGGTTCATTTTTGAAGGCTTCTTTAGGCTTCTGAGACTCTACTACCACCACGCACATGCACTCCAAAAGTAAACACTTTTAGCCATTTTCAGCTAGCACTTGACTAGAAATTCGCTGATAGTCGGCTAAGAGCTAAGAGGCCACAAAGAAAGCAGCTCTGAAAAGGCAAACGAGTGGGCTCTGAGGTCCAGTGTGGCTTCTGTCCAACGCCTCAGCCCATCTTACATTTCATTGACCTGCCTGTGTGACCCCAAAGTAAGCAGCATCCCCAGTACCCTAGGATGCTCAATTCTTCCCAACTTCAGAGAGAAATTCAGAAATGTGGTCTGACAAATATACATTATAAAATAATATATTCATAAATATTCATTAGGAGAACCAGAGTCATTAAAATTTATGCAGAATCGAAATCTTGACTGCAACAGGAATGTTTTCAAATTAGATTTGTGGGTTCAGTTTGGGAGACAATCTTTCAGCAGCTAGAAATTTTTTTCTTTCCAAAATATTGTGGCTTTTTCCTGATCTGAAAGATTGAATTTTGGGTTCCAATTCACCCCTCCCTGGACCCCTGTTCCCATGTAACTTTGCGGTTCTTCCCACCCCCTTGGGAGGAGGATATTTCCCTACCCTTTGATTCTGAGTTTGGCCACAGGACTTGTATTGGCTGAGTGGTCACTCAGGAGTGGGAAGCCTGTAGGTGCAGTCGGACATGTTCTCTGCCACCTCTGCCCTCGCCAGCTGGCCCATCAGTCCCGGGCGGGGCAGGGTGAGAGATATGGAGCAGAGCCACCCCGCGAACCCATAGGAGTGATGCAGTCATCCCAGCCACTGCGGAATAAAGCAGAGCCACTGCAGGCCATCTGCAACCCCCGGAGCCAGAAGCAAATGTTAATTGCTGGATGCTGCTCAGGTTTCGTGGTTGCTTATTATGAGGCGTTATTATGGCAATAAGCGAACCAATATACCTTTCTTCTCCTGACTTCACTCTCTTTCTACATCTTCTTTTAACAATTTTTATCAAATCCTCGGACTCTGTTCTTTTTGGCATTGATTTTCATAAATATGGGGGTGGGGAAATTCACTTCTGATTAAATGATTATGTGGATTCTCAGAAAAAATGTGGATACCCTTTTTTCAAAATGGCTCAGGTGAACCACGAACTCTGTCCTTCCTGGCTTTCAGCGTGTTTCCAGGCAACGCCGCACAGGAGCATGGAGCCTACAGAGACCATCTCTTCTGCAGACGTGGTCTAATTCGCCTTTGGATTTTAGCTCAACATGTATTGAGTTCCCATCCCGTATCAGGCACCAAGTTTAGGCACGCAATTTTGAACGATCCATCAGGCAATAGCAACAACCTAAGTGTCTGTTGACGGATGAGTGAGTAAAGGATATGTGATATATTTACAAGATACACAACAGAATATTATTCAGCCTTTAAAAAGAAGGAAATCTTGCCATTTGCAACAACGTGGGTGAACCTGAAAGACATTATGCGAAATGAAGTAAGTCAGACACAGAAAGACAAACACTGCATGACCTCACTGACCTGTGGAATCTTAAAAAGCTGAACTCATAAAAGCAGAGAGTACAGCAGTGGTTGCCAGGGGCTGGGGGTGGGAGAAATAGGGAGATGTTGGTCAAAGGGTACAAAGTTTACTTCTACAGGATGAATAAGTTCTGGTGATCTAATGTATAGCATGGTGGCTGTAGTTAATAGTAATAATGTCTTATTGTATACTTGAAATTTGCTAAGAAAGTAGATCTTAAGTGTTCTCATCAGACACATAAAAAATGGTAACTATGTGAGGTGATGGATATGTTAATTAGCTTGATTGTAGTAATCCTTTCACAATGTGTGTATATATATATCAAAACATGTTGTACACCTAAGTATATACAACTTTTATTTGTCAATTATACCTTAATAAAGCTGGACAAAAAAATTCACCAGGCAGTAAGAGAGAGGAAAAGATCTTGTAGGCATAAAGAACTCAAAGAATGATGACACAGCCTTGTGGATTCTGGAAATTTGAAATCTTACTGTGCTGGTGGTACGTAAAGTGTGTGAGTGTCTATGTCGGTTTGAGAGGAAGGTGTGGTAGCCAGCCTCCAAGATGGCCCCCAATGATCCTCACCTCTGGTATTCCTGCTCTGTGTAGTTCCCTCTCACATTGCATCGGGGTTGGGGGGGGGGGGCGGCCTGTGTGACCAATAGAATACTGTAGAGGTGGTCATGTATGACTTCTGAGACTAGGTCATAAAAGACATGGATTCCATCTTGCTTTCTCTTGGATCACTCACTCTGAAGGAAGCTGGCCACCATGTCATAAGGACACTCAAACAACCCTATGGAGAGATTTACATGGCATGAAACAGGTTTATGCCAACAGCCAGGACTAACTTCCAGCCATGTCAGTGAGCCACCTGGGAAGCAAATTCTCCAGCCCTAGTCAAGCCTTCATTCGACTGCAGCCTTTGCTGACATATGGACTAAAACCTCATGAGAAACCTTGGGCCAGAACCATCCAGCTAAGCCATTCCTTAATTTCTGATCCACAGACACTGAGAAATAAGAAGTGTTATTGTTGTATTAAGCCACTACAGTTTACAATATGTTTTGGCAGCAGATCACTAAAGCAGAAGTCAAAGCTCAGATCTGAGCTGCTGAGTTGGCCCTGCTGTATCCTGCAGCAGGAGTAGCCCCTGAAGAGGTATCGACAGTGCATGACTTCTAGGGGTATCAGGAAACTGTGTGGAGGGCAGGTTTGAAGAGGGTGAGACTGGAGGCAGTGAGGAGGAGAAGTCCTGGTGAGAAAAGATGAAGGCCTGACTTTCACCTGATGAAGTCAGGGCACTGAGAGGGGAGATGATGAGAGGGAAGCGAGAGAAGTGAGGACTGACTGGGTTGGGGTGAAAGAGTTGTCTGGGAGGACTCCTAGGTTTCCAGCATGGGTGATTGGACAGGCAGTGGGACATTCACAGAGCTGGGGACACAAGAGATGCAGATGAGGTGGAGAAATACTGAGTTTGTTCCTGGGGGTGGTGGGGTTGAGGGGCTTGTGGGGCATTCAGGGGAAGGGGTCCAGGCATGAAGCTGGAGGTGTCTGAAAAGTTCTGTCTTTATGGTGAAATGGATCCACCTAAAGAGCTCCAGACAGCTTGGCGGTGGGTATTTTTGATGCTGGACCTGCACAGAACCAAGAACAGGTCTGGCTTATATGGAATGCCGCCTCCTTTAAGGCTGCTGGATATGACCAGGTATGTGAATGCCTAAAAATAATAATAATAACAACAGCATCTAGCCCTTTCTCTGCTGGTGGCACCTTCTACCCGCTCCCCATTGTCTATTCTTCAAAATGAGCAGATTTCAACCTTTGCATTTCAAACACCTGGAAAAGCTTATGGGGATTAAGTGGAATGATTGAAAACTTCCTGGCAGATGGTAGATGTTAGACGCAGTCTTCTTTCTGCCTAAAAAGTGAGCCTGGACCCCTACCTGCCTCTCCCTCTCCTGTCTGTGAAAAGGTTTGCGAAATGCAAAGCTTTATTCAAATGTAAATTATAACCTTTACCTTTAACTTCATAAGAAGTCAAAGATCTTTTTATTTTCAACTTTTTACTATGGAAAACATCAAACTATATAAAATAAAGAGAATAATATAATAAGCTCTTGTTATGGAACCATTACTCAGCTTCAAAAATGATCAATTCATGGCTAATCTTATTTTATTTATACTCTCACCCACTATCTTTTTCTGGATTATTTTTATCATATCATTCATAAATATTTCAGCATGCATCTCTAAAAGATAAAGAAAAATTTTTAAAAAGCCACAACACTATTCTTAAACTTAAAAATTTATCAATAATTTCTATATATCAAATATCCAGTCTGTATTCATATTACCCCACGATCTAACCTCTTTGAGTTTGTTCTTCAAATTAGGATCCAAATAAAGCACAGCTGCTTCAAATGATCTGTCTCCTCTAGCGCCTTCCATGTAGAGATTCTGCCTCCATCTCTTTTTCCTCTTGAAATTCACTTATTGAAGAAACCAGGGCATTTGTCTTATAGAGTTTCCTTCAGTCTAGCTTTTACTGATTGCATCTTCCTGGTTTTTTAAAAACAAACTTTATTTTTTAAAAGTTTTAGATTACAGAAAAAATTGGGAAGATAGTACAGACGGTGCCCATTTGGTCCACCCACTTTCCCCTATTATTAATCTATTATTATTCTTACATTAGTATGGTATATTTGTTACAATAATGGGCCAATATCAATATGTTATTATTAATCAAAGTCCATATTTTATTCAGATTTCCTTATTTTTATCTAATGTCCTTTTTCTGATCCAGGATCCCACCTAGGATACCCCATTACATTTAGTCATCATGACTCAGGGTCCTCTTTCTTGTGACAGTTTCTCAGACTCTCCTCATATCTGATGACCTTAACAGTTTGGAGGCGTGCTGGGCAGGTATTTTGTAGACCGCCCCTCCACTGAGATTTGTTTAATGCTTTTCTCATGATTAGACCAAGGTTAGGTCATTTTGGGAGGAAGACCACTGACATTAAGTACCATATTCATCACATCACGTCAAGGGTGCATACTAGCAACATGACTTAGCACAGTTGATGTTGACCTTGACCACATGGCTAAGGTGTCAGATTTCTTCACAAAGTTACACAGCTGACCCCCTCCCCCATCTTTCCATACTGTCCTCTTGGGAAGGAAGCCGCTGTCCACAGCCCTTGCTGAAGGAGTGGGCAGTTATGTGCCACCTCTTTGAGGGCAGACTATCTACTTTATTTCAAATGCCTCTGCTGGGAGATTTGTCTCTTCCCCCTCACTTATTTACTTATTCATTATTTCTATCAGTATGGACCTGTAGTATGTTTTCTAGACTTTGGGTTATAATCCAATACTGCTTTATTTTGTTGCTCACATTGTTTCAGCTTTGGCTATTGCGAACTCTGTCAGTTGGCTCCTGTGTCCCTGTCCCTTTGACCTACTCCCATCAATATTGGTTTTTTTCCTTTTCATTTAAAAAAATTTAGGAGGGTGCATTTCCTTGCTTTCTGGCATCACAAGATGCTCCAGGCTCATCTTGTATCCATCATGTATATTTCCTGCCCCAGTGCTAGAATCAGCCATTTCTCCAAGGAGTCCTTGGTTCCTTTACTGGAAAATTGTATTAGAAATCAAGATCTGGGCACTACGTGTGCTTGTTGCTACTGCGGCATCATTGCTTTTAGGCCCTCAGCTGACAGAGCAAGGAAATATATGTGTACACTAAGCCTTCTGTATACACATATCTGTAAATATTTCTATATGTAACCATCTATATCTAATTAAGCTAAACACAAATTTATACTGATGTTTCCAACTCTAATCCACTACCAAATGGATCATTCTAAATTCTTCCTGATAATTAAAAAAGATGTTGTTTTGTATTTCTTATAAAACGGTAGTTAGACCCAGATTCAAATTCATTTTCTTTGGCAAGAATATTTCATAGGGGATGGTGTATTCTTCCCTCATGAACTGTAAAGTATCTGGTTATCTTTTAGTGATGTTAGGAGCCACTGATGATGATTCCTTAGGATCTAGCAAGTCTTTAAAGTTTAAAAAATAGTGAAATTTTGATTGGCTCCATCTTTCTTCTTTGATTAACTGGAATACTCTGTAGAAAGGGAAACTTCCCTTCATCAACTATTTGGTAGCCCTGAGGCAGGGGCCATATACAAAAGACAGGAGAATGGCTCGATTCTTTGCCTCAGTATTTTCAAAAAATGAATTCATTCCCTAGCATCCTCTGAGGCTGACCACAGAGTTACTTTCAGTTTTGAAAACTGTTATGAACTTGGAGTAGCTCTTGAGGCACATGGCATCACTCACTCGTCACCTCCAGCCTTGATCCTGGGCCATCTGCCTCAGGGTGGTGGGATGATGGGGTAGGAGGTGCAAAGAGGCTGGGTTCCTCCAGCAGAGGCAAAGAGCAGTTTGGAAAGGGATGGTAAGGTTGTGGTCTTGAGGGCTTCCGTATTCATTCATCCTGAAAAAGCTCTGGTCTCCAAAGTCATTAATTCTTGTATAGCTGTTGCCTTGGTTTCATAGAGTTCTTCACGTTGCATTAGAAATAGCTGAATCTAACTTCAAAAGCTTCTTCAAGCAACCAGGAAAGAAAAATACAACAGCCTGAAGCTCCAGAAAGCACACCTTTGACCCTAAATCCTTCAAAGAAGCCCATCTAGGAGAGAAACCAAGTCACCTTTGGAATGTTAGGGTGAGGGTTAGGGCACTGGTTCTCAACCCTGGTTGCTTATCAGAGTCACTTGAAACATTTAAAAACCACCTATGCCTCAGCATCACTGCCGGAGATTCTGATTCAATTGGTTTGGGTGGGCCTCTGGAATTGGTAGTTTTATGACCTTTTTGCAAGGTGATTCCAATGTTTAACCTGAGCCATTTCCAAGCCTCCAGAACTCTAACAGGCTCATGAGTTGTGTCACATTTATGGTATCATCACCTTGATCCAGCTGCCTGATGTCAGTAGATGCCATCTCTGCCATGTTACTCAGAAGACTAAGCTAGGAAGGATGATGCCAGGGACGTCTCACTCCCCTTGGGATGCTGAGGCCTGAGGAGTGTGGCTGAGTTCCAAATCGCAGGTCTCTATCACGGCCTTCTATCCCCACCCTGAACTCCAAGGATGGCTACATTTACTCTGTGCTCGGCACGCTCTAAGTGCTTTAAACCTCTCAATATGACTCTCAGTGTGAGGCAGTCTACACAGAGTGCAGAGCCTGAGAAAAGATGGGGAAAACTTGGTCTGGGGTGAAGGATCTTGAATCCTATTCCTCCACCTCCCTTCACAGCTCAGTGGTCTGAGAGCGTGTGAAGGAAAAGTCTAGAAAGCCTTAAGCACTTCTTTTACCTCTGACCCTCCTCAGTCTCCTTTCTGTGCCCGCAGAGTTTCACTTACAGCTCTTTCCTCACTTAGCCCTTGCCCCTCAACTCTCGTCGGTCATACCTATCCTATGATCACACCTATCCTATCCGTTGCCTATCGCCATCTCCAATTCCTAGCTAAAACTACACTTATCATTGACCACCCACCTCCTACGATGCCCATCTCAGAAAATGACACAGCCATCCACCCAGACCAGAAACTCTGACCTTATCCTAGCACAATTCTCCCCCAACAGTCAGCCAGCATTGAGTCCCCTCAATTCCACCACTGGGGATAGCTGTTAAACAGGTCGATCCTCTCCATTCACCATGGCTCGAGGACAGGCCACGGCTCTGAAGCCAACTCTGCCTCGTTTCCTTTCTAACCCTCACCTCAGCCTCCGTGCCTCGTGTACCAGCCAGACCAAACCAGACGTAGTTCCCTGAACGCTCCATGTGGTTCCTTCGGCTCCCAGGACTCATCCCTAATTAAATCCCGCTCAAGCTATAAACCCTTAGGTGCGTCCCAGCTCTCCCACCAGCTCGGGAAGTCCTACCGGGAACAGACTGTGACATAAGCATTTTCGACCTGCTTCCCTCCGGGTCCAGGGCGCTCGCCCCACCTTCAGCCCCGCCCCGGCCCGAGGCCCAACCCGGAGGAAGCTTTCTGCCTCCACTAGCGTCCCACGGCCATTCACACGGGCTGCAAGCCCCGCCCTGATTGGCTGCTGCCCGCCAGTTGCCGCGCCCCGCCCCGCCCTCACGCACCTCGGTTCCGCCCCTGGGCCCTGCAGGGATTGGTCCTGGCGGCCCCGCCCACGAGACGACGTGGGTCGTCGGGACCCCAGTGGGGAGCGCCTCGGGCCATGGCCGGTGTGCGCAGGCTCCAGCTGGAGGAGGCCCTGGCACTGGGGTCTGAGTGGCGGCACGCGTGCCACGCGCTGCTCTACGCGCCGGACCCAGGGCTGCTCTTCGGCCGCATCCCGCTGCGTTATGCCGTACTGGTGAGGAGGGGCGCGCCCGGCCACTCCCCGGCCCCTCCCTGCCACCTCCCCCGGGCGCCCCCGGCAATCCGTGCTCCCCTCTCCCGCAGATGCAGATGCGCTTTGATGGGCGCCTGGGCTTCCCCGGCGGCTTGGTGAACAGGCAGGACGGCAGCCTGGAGGATGGGCTGAACCGCGAGCTGAGCGAGGAGCTGGGCGAGGCTGCGGCCGCCTTCCGGGTGGAGCGCACCGACTACCGCAGCTCGCACGTCGGGTCCGGGCCGCACGTCGTGGCCCACTTCTATGCCAAGCTCCTGACCCTGGAACAGCTGACTGCAGTGGAGATTGGCGCACCGCGCGCCAAGGACCACGGGCTGGAGGTGGGGTTAGCCCGGGAACCCCACCCCCATGTCCTCCCTGCCCCCAACAGCCTCTCCCCCAATTTCCCAGTGCAGCTGGGGTCTTGGTCTTCTTTCATCTGGGTAACTGACCACAGCCAACCTGCTCTGCCGGCGAAGGTCTCTCCCCTCTCACCCCTTTACTGGCCTCTGCAGCTGTCTTTTTAGAACACACCCATCCAAGTCTCCCTTCCGCTCCCCATTGATAATGGCCAGGCCTTGACCCTAGCCTGGCCATTTTTCTTGGGTAGGAGATTCGGCCTGATACCTTGTGGGGAAACCTTGGCACTTAGGCTAGGGCAGTAGGGGGACAGATTGTGTATGGAGGTGGTCCTCAGACTTTGGCAGGTGTCAGAATCGTCTGGTAGGCTTATTAAACAGGATTGCTGGCCCCGCTCCCAGAAATGCTGGTTCAGTGCGGGAGGGAAGTAAGGACCTGAGAATTTGCATTTTTCAAAAGTTCCTAAATGGTGCTGATATGGCTGATCTGGGTACCATATTTTAAGAACTCCTGGTCTAGGGCCAAGCATGCATGCTGGAGGCAGGAGCCACTACAGGTTTAGTGATGTGGGAAGGGGTCGCATTTATGGAGCAGGGTAGCATGGCTTGGGGGTCGCATTTGTGGAGCAGGGTAGCATGGCTTGGCTCATTCATCTGCAGAGAGCTGGGCCCACTAGGCTATGTTAAGGTATGAGTCCCTGGGCCTAGTTCTGTTGTAATTAGGAGTGAGGCCTCTGATCTGGAAAGTTCTGGCTGGGATGAGCTACCGGGATTTCCAGTGTCTCCTGTCTCCTTCCTTTCACAGGTGCTGGGCCTGGTGCGGGTTCCCCTGTATACCCTGCGGGATGGTGTGGGAGGCCTGCCCGCCTTCTTGGAGAATTCCTTTATTGGAACTGCACGGGAGCAGCTGCTGGAAGCCCTCAAGGACTTGAGACTGGTAGAGTCTGGTTCTCTCTCGAAGGCTGCAGGCCGTAGGATCTCAGCCCCTCCCTAGAGGCAGCCCTCATGGACCCATGCTGAGCTCAGGACACTGGTATTGGGGAGAGGGGGGAGGAAAAAGGGAATGTTTTCCCTTCTGGGCCTGGGCCTGATAGATGATAACAGATTAAAAAGATGTATGTACAGTATGTTCTGAGCAGAGGGCTCCCCCAGCAACTCACGGCGTCAGGGGCAAAAATCTGCAGCTCATCCCAGGGGCCCTGGCAAATTCTCAGAGCCTGCCTCCTCCCTGTACAATTGCACACACACAACCTGGCAGCCCCCACACATGTGACAGCCTGTGCCCTCACACAAGCTGACACCTCCCCACCCCCACTCCCCGCCCCACCCTCCCCAGTTTAATCAGGAAGTGGCATGTCACTATACCCATCTCCTTGCTAGGGAGGAGTGTCTGGACCAGGGAAAGGTCTCTTCCCACACTCCTGCATGGCTGTTCTCCAGGGTCTAGCCCACCCATGCTTGTTGAGACAGAGAAGCAGAGGACCCTTTTTCCCCCCGAAGGTGATTGCATCCTTGCCTGGGGGTTTCAGTATACCCTTGAAAGGTGGCAGAGGGTCCTAACCAGCCCCCTGCCCTCTTCTCCTGAAAGTGAATAGGAGTGAGGAAATGGCTTGGTCTCCTTGGACTGACCTTGAACTTGAGACTTCTAAGTCCTGTGCATCTCCTCCAGGGCTTTCATCTTTGGGACCCCTTAGACTCTGGGGACATCAGGAAACTGACTCAGCCCTGCCCTGACAAAAAGAGCCTCCTAGTAAAGAAAGGCTTATGCTGGGCCTCCAGGCCCTTCACTTCTCTCCACAAGTAATCCGTATGAGGTACTGGAAGTCTAAAGATGACAGAGCCATTGGCCTTGCTCTCCATGGGTCAGGAAACTTGTTCTTAAAAGGCAAATAGTAAATATTTTAGGCTTTGTGGGCCACATGGTCCTTGTAGCAACTGCTTAACTCTGCCATGTCAGAAGGAGCAAGCGACAATACGTAAATAAATGGGTGTGGCTGTGTTCCAATAAAACTCTATCTAATAAAGGAGCTAGCCAGCCTGTGGGCCATAGTTTGCCAACTCCTGCTCTAGAGAAGAAGATAAGTGATAATTTTAATGATGATGTCTACTTATGTACTTTATTTATGTCTGTGTTAAGAAGCAAATAAAGGATTGGTACAGGTCCTGCCATGACATTTTTGCTTTTAGTTAAGGTGGTCTGGAAGGGCCCTCTAAAGAGCATTTAAAGTCAAGGATGAGAAGGATGTAGCCAGGTAGGTGTGTGGGAAGAGTGTTCTAGGAAGTAGCATGTGTTAAGGCCCTGAGGAAGAATCTTGACAAATTATCCCAAAACAAAGCTATGGGAATTGGATTCCTTTTCTCAGTTGGGGGAGGTGGGCAGGGGAGTAAACAAAGAATTTGCAGTCATCTTTAGTTTACCAGAGTATGGTCTAGAAATGGAAAAAGGCCAGCATAATTAGACTACAGGAAGCAAGGGGAGGTGAAGCTGGAGAGGCAGGCAGGAGCTAGATGGTACAGAGCATTATAGACCATGGTGAGGGGCTGGTGGTGTGTGGAGTGCGGACTGGAAGGGAGAGGAGAGGAAGTGGGAGACGGGAAGCTGCCACAGTAGTGCACGTGGGAGGTGTGGCGATCTGGGCCAGGGTGGCCGCGGAGGTGGAGAGAAATGGATGCGGTTGAGAGAGATGGTGGTGGTGTTGTTGACAGGACCTCTGATGGACTGGTTAGAGCGTAGGGAGAGGGAAAAGAGGATTCAAGGATGACTTTTGGTTTATGTGTTGAGTTATTCAAGTTGTAGATGAAGGAAAAGCCTGGGTTGTGGGGGACAAACTTTTGCAGGGGACAGAATCAAGGTCATTTTGGGCTTGCTGAGACAAATTTGAGATAAAGATGGTGTAGTAATTTATGAGGCTGGATGAGGTCATCCAGGGAGAGAGAAGAGAGAAGAGGACTTGGACGGGGCCCTGAGGAAGCCCAGCCCTAAGAGTTTGGGGAAGGGGCAGGACATGTTACAGAGGACCAGGAGTGGAGAGGAAGCTGCTTTAAGGAAGCGGACTATCCCAAGTGCTTATGAGAGTTTCGGTAAAATGAGGGCCTAAGTGTCCATTGGATTTGGTAGCGTGAGGTTTTCTTTGACCTTGATGGGAGCAGTTTAAGCAAAGGATGGGAGTGGAAGGCAGACTGGGGTAGACTGAGTGAATGGGAAGTTACGGGTGGGCAGTGTGAGAAGTTGGTCCTAAAGGGATGTGAAGAGATGACGTGGTAACTGGAGAGGGCTGTGGGGTCATGGGGCGTGTTTCTGGGGGCAGATAGAGCATGTGTGTATTGATGGGAACAGTCGAGGTGGAGTGTGGAGAGAGGCGGTGTGGGCAGGGGGGAGCGGGGTTACTGAAGGGCACAGTCCACAGAAGAGAAGGGATGGGCCCTCGGATGGGAGGAGGGACAGCCCTGCAGCATAGTGGGCTCAAGGAGAGGATGGGAAAAGTGTAGAGGATGAGGAGGGCTAAATGAATGGTGGGATGATGGAGTTTGAATCTCTTCTTGGTGAAAGGAAGTGAGACCATCAGCTGGATGTGGGTGGAGGATGTTCTCAGAAGGTATGAAGTAGTCATTCATCTTGGCGTTTAAAGAAACAGCAGAATGGCAGGGCAGGGTGGAGCTATGAGACCGTCAGTTTAGAGTAGGAATCTAGGCACTCACCTGTGTCGGGGGAGTGTGCACACACACACGCATACATGTTTTTCCCCCCTCGTTGGTGTTCAGCTAGGATGAAGACACTTGATGCAGAGTTGGGGTTTTGCCAGAGGACTACAAGGAAGGGAGAGAGAGGCAAGGCAGTTAAGATTACAGGAGAAATTATAATGATGGACAGCGGGGTATTAGGTTTAATCTGAATAAGATGGGAAATGAAGACAGGAGATGACTTCAGAGGGTCAACAAATTGGAAGTCTCGATGAGGTAGAACTCCAACATGGTGTGGGGTTGGGAGGTGCATTTGGGCCAGAAAAGGGTGTTTTTGAAACTGAGAGGTGGAGCAGTCACAGGTAAAGTCAAGGTGCACGTGGGTGATGAAGCAGAAAGTGATAGATGGACAAGGTAGTGCGAGCTAGGAGCCACCATCCTCCGTGAGCAAGAGGAGTGACCAAAGGCCAGTGACAGCTGTCAGGAGAGGAAGGTGGACGTGACAGAACAGCAGGGGTCTCTGGGGAGAGGGGCTTCTGAAGGCGGGAGGGGAGAGTAGCAGTCTGCATGGCAACAGAGAGCAGCGTGGGCCCTGGTGTCAGTTCTTGGCCTTTGAAGGGGGTGGGGCGGGTGAGCAGCTGCGGAGATCAGGTAGATCCCCAGAAAGGTGAGTGATTCTGTCTTTTTTTCTCCTAACCTCGCCCCGATCCTTTTGTAAACTCTATCTAGACTAAACTCAGGGAGGGCAGGCTGGAGGGGATGGACGCTTGAGGGCCTCCCAGGGCATGGCCTGTACCACCTTCCTCTGTGCTTCATATCACATAGCCTGCTGCTCATCTCTGCAAGGGAGGCGAGGACCCTGCCGCCAAGAGAGATCCAAGTACCTCGCCATGATTGCCCCGCTAACAGATCCCTTCCCTCCGGAGCCAGTCTAGGCGGATCTGCACCAGGCTCACTCTCAGGTGGACTCTGGTCCAGCCTGGCACACATCTGAACAGCACCTTCACAGTGTTTCATCATATGCTGCCCGGGCGTTCCAGCAACAAGTCTCTTCTTGCCTCATGGCACTTCTGTCGTCAGCTTACTTTTTCATTTATGCAAATCTTAATTTTTTATGTCTCTGGTGACTGTTGAGGGGGACAGTCCACGACTTCCCTGTATCATCCCACAAACATACCCTCCCAGTCAGTAGGCCCCCTCTCGGTGAGCCGTCTGAAAGTGTTCACGTCCTGTGGCTTGAGTCCATGTCACTCGCCTCCTCCTTCCCAGCAGGCAGGCAGGCACAGGCAATACGAGCTCAGCCTCTGGTTTTTCCCCCTCGCCCTTTACGTCCTGCTGCAGGATCGGGAAACGGGGCGTGCTGCCCATGGTAGATTTCCTTGGCCTTGTCAAAAGCAATTATGGGGGAAGAGAGGATGGAGGCTTGGGAGCAACCCTCACCCCCCCACTGTCTGCCATGGAGACCTTCACCGAGCACTTGACCGTCTTATCTGAAATCCTGGGTTGTGGCCCCTGTGGTGAGGGTTAGATGAGTGGGCGCTTGGGATCCGGCGCTGTCCAGCACCGTCTCGGTACTTGAGGCCGTCCGTCCACATCTCACTTGCTGCTTGTCAGCACGTTTCGTTTCCTGGAAGGTGAGTGGCCCAGGCTCCTTTGTTTCTGCCTTTGTTAGCATAGTCAGCAGGATGCTCAGGCTTCTCAGTTCTGTGCTGTTTCCTTGAGGACGCCACTGCTGGTGCTGAGTTAACGCTTTTGGGCCCCACGCTGTCCTGAGCCAGAGTCTTCCTTTCTTATCAAGTTTCTGGCAAAGCTCTTGCTTTTAGGCAGAGACATCTGAAGAACGAGTGGCTCCCTCCTTCCCCACTTACCTGGGCTTTCAGAGACTGCTCAGTGTAACCGACCCGGGCAATGGTGAAGGGGAAGGGTTGTTTTCTGTCAGTTTCAGTTTATTGCACAGAAAACAGATTTTTTTGAAACCTTCAACGCCAAACAGACAAATGAACAGGAAAAAAAAATAGAGGAAAAAACATCTTATCTTTGAAATTGGTGAATGGCGTCAGAATTTGAGGCAAACTAACAGATGCTGGGCCTTGCCCACCTCAGAGGGGGCAGAAGAGCAGGAGGTGGGGGATTGTGTTGAAACACAGTCACTTCTGAGGAACAGGGACCAGGGGCATGGGCAGGGCAGAGGAAAAGGAGAAACACCCACCACGGACTTCAGGCCACAGAAAACTCCCTGAAAGTGAAACCATGTGGCCTTGCCCCTGCTCCCCCACTTCCTATCTGATTCATCTGGAATGTGACCTTCATGTCCCCCCAGTGGGAGAGGCAGCCTGGCAGAGGCCAGAAGGGCAGAGAGATGAAAGCACCTTGCAGGCATCTCTCACACTTGCAAAGCAACACTAGTGAGGGGCATAGGACTCGCAAAAGGAAGCTCCTCACGGAACAGACTGGAAGGAGTCTGTCTAGGCTTTTCCCCAAAGTGCCAGCTCACCCTGGTGCAGAGGTGTGAACTCAATCTCCCTCCTGCCCCCATGGGTTCTGTTCCGCTCCTCAGGCATTCCCAGCTGATGTGGCAGATACCCCTGCCTCCCCCCTCCTTCCACTCAGGGAGACCAGCCCTGGGCCGAGTCTTCAAGAATTACAAGGAGGCTTGGGAGAAACCCCAGTGAGGACGGCTATTTCCCACAGGCCCAGTGCCCCACTCTCTTAAGGCCGCTGAAGGGCAGACTGATAAATCCACAACTTCTTATTGTGCAGGACTTATTCCAGGGTGGGGATTCCGGCAAAGGCCAGGAAGCAGGGAGGGGCGAGCAGGTGAGTGAGCCTGTGCTTGTTTGAGGGCAAAAGAGTGGAAGAATTGCTTCCAATTAAGTAAACAGGAAATGACAATGTGGGGTCTGTTCAAAAAAAGGACATGAACACTGGATGTAAATGATAAGGCACATGCTCTGGAAGATTTATTCCACCGAACAGAAGCAGTGTTTGCTCAGGGAATTTGAGGGGAACGTGGACTTGGGAATGAGATGAAAGATAAGCGAAGACACCGAATCAGCCGCAGCACCAGAACAGAATTTAACGAACTAGATCTCTCTATTAGAGAATTTAAATCACACTAGAACAGCAAAGAGCATCATCAACGTGGGAAAAACTGCCACTGTTAGGGAGAGCAAGCTTAAGAAAATACCTAGAATGCAAAATGTACAAAACAAGGAAAGTGACCAGAGAGACGATGGTAGACAGAGCAATCAGATGCTGGAAACCCAGAGTACTGTTACTTGATAGAAGTAAAAATGTTAACAGGCAGCCCCTAGAACGTTCCATACCAAGAGTGAACGCTAAGGTAAACCTGCCTTTGCGTGATCATGATGAGTCAAGTGGGTTCATCAGCTGTAGCAAGCGCACCCCTCTAGTGCAGGATATTGATATGGGGGAGACTGTGCATGGGCAGAGCAGGGGTATGTGAGGGGTCTCTGTACCTTCCTCTTAATTTTGCTATAAACCTAAAACTGCTCTGAAAAACAAAGTCTTAGATATTAACAGACAGGACTCATGTAAAATGAACAGTCTTTTAGGAAACAAGAAGAAAATTCTAAATGGAAAGAGACAAACCTGCAGGTTGGCAGGACTCACTATGTTCACGGGAAAAAAAAAGATGAAAACTGAAAAACAACACTGGGATGTTTTTCTTTCCAAGGACGTTTGTAAGGTAGGAGGATTAGTTCACTTACAATAGCAAAAACTTCCTTTCTATCGAAATAGACATTCAAGGGCAAAAGCATGGCTATTATCCACGTACTCCATCTGAAAATAACAAAGGTGTTTCTTAGCAATCTAAAGATGAATTGAAATAAACAACTGATCAGCAGGAAAATTGCGTAAGAAACCTGTGAGGTGGTTATTAACTGCGGTTAGTTACAAATTTACTGCTCAGTAATTGTGTGAATGATGGCTGTAGAATGATACAAATGCTACCAACTGAGGAAATATCCATAAGGTAAAAATGAAATAACAATTTGGTTAATATGCTAGCTCCTAGATCATTCAAGTAAAAGTTAGATAGGATGGGGGAGGAGGAAACATGAAAATGTACTAATTTTACTGGGGAAAGGAATCAGTACTATTTGGTTTCTGAAGTTGATAAGGATCTCAGATTGGATAAAAACATGAAATTTTACTATTTCAAGGGACATGCCAGAGCAATTTGATTCGGTTTGAATATGAAAGGATGCGCAAAGAATGCCAGGCAATTACAGTCAAAAAGTAAAGAACTCCACAACTAGAAGGACCCACAACTAAAATATACAACTATGTGCTAGGGGGACATGGGGAGAAAAAAGCAGGAAAAAAAAAAAGTAAAGAGTTGCCGTAATATTAATATCAAAATTCACTGTCAGAAGCATTTTGTGGAACTAAGAATTGTTTAATTCATCAAGAGATTATTCACAATGGTCACGTGTATTTCACATTACATACAGCAAAATCTACTGGTGATGCAAGGAGAAATTGACAGAATAGTACTGGGAGACTAACATACACTCCCTCGGTCCTTGGCAGATAAAGTGTCATATACAACTACGGATTCTAGGATATAAAGAGGATGACAGCAATTAAACATTTTGGCGGTGCTTACTGTGTGGCAGGCACTACTCTAAGCTTTTCTCAGATATTAACATATTTAGTCCTTAAAACGACCACATGAGGTAGGGGCACTATTGTTTCTATACTCCAGATAAAAACGCTTACGCACAAAGGCCAAGAAAATAATAAACTTCTGCCTAAAAGATCAATTTTGAACTCCGTAACTTGAAGTTGAGGATACACCTTTAAAGACCCAGGGAACATTTATCAAATTAGTCACATATTGGGCCTTAGAAAACCCAGTAAGTCCTCTCCAGTAAGTTTATGGAAACCCAGACCAAAAAAGACTCTAAAGAAACAAGAAAAGGATTCAGGAGTAGGTATGGGACCTGTGCCAGGAATATTATATGTATTTCAGGTGTGCATCATTTTATTTTGATTTCTGTATAGACTACAACGTGTTCACCCCTAAAAGTCTAGTTTCCATCTGTCACCCTATAAATGTCCCCCTTTACCCTTTTCGCCCTTGCCTTACTAGTTCTGTC